GGTTTCCTGTCGAGCAGGGAGCCCAATGTGGGGCTCGATCCCAGGACCCTGGGCCCATGACCTGAGCCAAAGGCAGACGCTTAATGACTGAGCCACCCAGGTGCCCCTCAAATCATGTATCTTATGAGCAACTTATATCTAGAATATATAAAGACCTTTACAATTCAATAATAAAAAGACAATCCAATTTTTGAAAAAAATGGGCAAATAATTTGAAAGAACATTACTTCAAAGAAAATATACAAATGGCCAGTAAGCACATAAAAAGATGCTCAACATCATTAACCATAATTGAAATGTGGTAATATACCACTCACATCCACCCGGATGGCTACAATCAAGAAGCAAGGTAATAAGCAAGTGTTGACAAGGATAGGGAGAAACTGGAAACCTCATATTTGTTGCAGGGATTGTTAAAGCGGTACAGCCATTTTGAAAATCAGTCTGGCAGTTCCTCAGTTACCACAGATATCATATAACCCAGAAATTCTACTCCTAGACATATATTCAAGAAAAATGAAAACCTATATTCACCCCAAAATTTGTACACAAGTGTTCATAGCAGCATTGTTCATAATAGCCAAAAAGTGGAAACCCAAACATCCACCATGATGAATGGATAAACAAAATGTGGTACATCCATACAATGGAATATTATTTGGCGATAAAAAAAGATACATACAACATGAATGAACTTTGAAAATGTTATGCTAAATGAAAGAAGCCAGTCACAAAAGACCATATATCATGATTCCATCTATGTGAAATGTCCAGAATAGGCAAATATAGACACAGACAGTATATTAGTAAGAGTTGCCTAAGGATGACAGCCAAAAGGTATGGGGTTTCTTTCTGGGGTGATAAAAATGTTCTAAAATTAATCATGGTGGTAACTGTACAACTCAATATACTAAAAACTGTCAAAGTGTAAACTTTAAATGGGTGAACTGAATGGTATATAAATTATGTCTCATTAAAGCTATAACAAAAAAGATACATATATAAATAAAAGACAATTTAAAATTCTAAAAAGTTTTATTATAGAAACAAAACAAGGAGTATAATTAAGCATGAAATAAATAATTTCATTCTTGATAAAAGTACATTTAATGTTACAAAATCTGAAGTAAACTAGTTTATAACCCAACTCTTAAAGGATTTATATTTATTGAAATTAACTTTTATTCTTTTGCAAAGACAGAACTTTAGTACAGGAGGAACACATTTAATCTGTTATACATTATTACAGATATGATTCAGAAGTCAACATACATAAAAGCAGCTATATTCACCTTTGCTAAATAGCTGTACAAAGCTATTAACTTAAAATATAAAAAAGTTATTCATGAGATATTTCAGATTAGAAGTTTGGAATGCATGTTTCTATCTGATACCATTAATCCACTAAATATTGTGGTCAGATGTTCAGGGTATCTCTCATAGAACTGCACACAGGATTACAGAAGTCAGGCAAAATGTTGTCAATTCTAAGGGATATAAGCAAACAATTCAAAGATGACTTTATGGTAAATTTGGCAAATCTGGTGCTTAAATGACCCTTTTTATTACAGAAAACAAGTAAGTATAATGTTTAGAAACCTTAATGGATGGAAAATAGTTGAGTCAAATATATTCTTTGCAAGTTTCACATCTAATTTTATTTAAAGTGTTAACTCTAAACATTCAAAAAGTTAATAATGAGTTATTATTTTAATATGAAATTGTTCAATTTTACTTGCAACTTTTCAAAAATTGTAATTTCAATACATATTGGGATCTAAAACTATTAGCAAATAGCAACAATAGAGCCTATATATTTTAAAAAGTGGACAAATGAAGAAAGAATATATGGGATGTAAATTAGGAAGTAGTTATTTGCTTTACAAAAGGTTCTTAAATATACAGAATTCATAACATGTGATCTTTAAATATTCATGCATTTAAAATAAATTTACCAAAAAGATTGACTTACATAGAACTTTTAGAAACCCCATCAATTTTATAAAGAGAGGCACTACTTTTATCTATCCACTAAAGGCAATAAAATGTTTTAACAGTTCAAAAATAGAAAGGACAAAAAAACAAGTGATTTTTCAAAAACAAAACAGTTTAGTAAGATGGCTATTCACTGTGCCCTTCAAGAAATTAATAACCTACTTTTTTAAAGCGTATTTTCCAGCCCCAACTTGTAACACACTTTGACCTCCATTTCTGCTTCTCCTTGAGTCGATCTGGAGTACATGGAAGAGGGCCACAACAGTGAGGCTACTGGCGGTTTGGGTTAATGTCCTGAAAAAACATGCTGTTTTTATATATGTCTATCCTTGTCTATGTACACAAAAAGTAATGAAGAAAAAAGTTAGTTCTGAAGTACAATGCATACTCCCTAGGCTGTAAAATCCTACTGGTCTAACAAAAAGCACCAAGTTATAGGCGCCAAAGTTGGAAAAAAATATAAACCAGCACAGAGTCAATATCATATACCTTATCAATTAAGTTTTATTTGTTGGACTGTTTGGCATTTGGGAAGCTCAATAAATTTAGCAGGCTAGAAATCCCACTGGTACCCTTACCAAAGATTTGCTTATTAATGAATTAAAGTTAATACTGAAAATAGCATAGTGAGGAGTCTTCCTCTGTGCTTAATGATGAGGAAAAAGATACCAAAATCTTTTTACAGAAAGGAAAAAAGTCCATAATATTTGTTTGAAAAATAAAAAGTAAACAGAAGATAAGGCACTTATTTCAATGGTTCTGCAACATCAAGGGCAAAGTATGTTTTGTATTTCTTTGAGAAATTCCTTCCATCCTAAAACCATAAACTTTGCTCCTTTCGTGGATTTTTATTGTCAAATCTAACAACTGTAAATTACCCAAATGGAATTACTTACATAATTTTTAATCATTTGTTACTCTACAAATAAGCGAGAAAATTAAATGCTCCTCACTCAGTTTTCTACTACTACTGTTTTAACTACAGTTAAAATAGAAGTAAGCTAATCTCTCATATCCAATATTATCACTTCTATAATAAAGCTTACACTTTCCTTTTCAACTGATGCTGACTGAATATTTATCATTTAAAAAAAGTTTCTCCAAATCTATTTAAGAAATAAGTTGACAGAAGCAAAAGCAACTAATATGTATATGTCAAAAGCTAAAAACAAAAAACACATCAAAAATAATTCAGCACATTTGATCATAATATAAATCAATAAAAATTCAATTAAATATTTCATGCCACATAGGTTATTCTATTTTCTTTTCAAAATATGCAAGCTGACTTTGAAATTGCATTGTTTTACATGCTCTGATCACAAGGACTACCAGGTGACTATTTGCTGTACACTTAGGTAACCACGGTAATATTTTTCTTTTTAAGATTTTATTTATTTATTTGAGAGAGAGAGAGAGCATAAGCAGGGGTAGAGGCAGAGAGAGAGGAAGAAGCAGACTCCCTGCTCAGCAGGGAGCCCGACGTGGGGCTCGATCCCAGGACCCTGGGATCACGACCTGAGCCAAAAGCAGACGCCACCCAGGCGTCCCCACAGTAATGTTTTCATAAGGCTTGAAGCTAAATACTAGTGACTCACTATTAAGATGTATAGAGAACCTGAAATGCCCTGCCTTTAACTACGTTAATATAATTGTTAAAAACTATATAAAAAGCATGAAATGAGAACCAATAAAACTAGTGCACCAGATATATGACACTGCCATCAAACAATTATTCTGAAGCTCCAATAAAGCAAAACATCCTAGAGCTAATCTAAGAATGCATGTGCTTTTGTACTTTAAAAAAAAAAAAAATATATATATATATATATAAAACAGTAAATAAAGTTAACGAAAAGATGTTCCCTTCTAATATAGTAATTTAGAGTGCTGAAATTGTAATTTTTACAGCACTCTAACAAGTGAAAATTTTAAAAATCTGCTCACTAAACATGTATAAGGTAAAATTAAACATGCATCCTGTCTTATTAAAATGATACATCTATCCCAAATCTCTTTATACAGCCCAACTAATCATTTAAGAATTTCTTTTAATAAATAACTAAAAATATGAAAACACTTAACCTAAAGGAATGTAGCATTTAGGTTGTGAAACTGTGTTGTGAATTTTATAATAATTGTCATTTTGTTCTTAATGTTGAAGACTGTACCATAGTTTCATAAATAATAGCATTTGTGTTTTATAATAAACATACCTGTATGCATAAGTATTTTTAGTAGCATCTGCCCCATCTCCAGGAATTGTTCATTTTAGTGTTATGTCATTTTAGTCATTAATATCAGAATATTCTTATTCTGATAAAGATTTAATTTTTCACTTAATACTTCAGTATAAAATATGTGAATAGACTGTATACCCCATTCCATATCTTTTAAAAACCTGAACAACATTCTTTTAAATATCTGTTTTAAAAAATATTTAGGTAACAAGAGTTACTGTTTTATCATGATTAAATTGGTATTAAATTTATGGGCATAAGTGAAAAAAGTTAACCACTTAATAGTTGTAAAATAATAAAATGCAATACCATGTACTATATTTTACTAAGAAAGTACACAGTTATATAAGCAGCAGATGATGAAAGCAAATCATAGAAAATCTGGATATACCTTTATGTATATCCTTCAAAATCACATTCCTTTATACAGTTAACAAATTTTAATTTAAATGTCACATATTTTCAGCTAACATTTAAATTAATAATATCATAATATTTCAATTCTATTATACACCATGAAATACCTTCAGAAACTGTCTTGAGGGTAAGAAGAGCTCCTTCCTTCTAGTCTATAATTATATGACATTAAACGACATATTTATTAAATGTTATGTTTGAGAAATATACTCTGACCTTGAACATATTCAAATTCAAGACCTATGTTATGACAGAATGAAGATTTATGAGGACAATTTTATAACAGTTGAGAAGATAATGAGAAGATAGTCTTTAAAGACCATGTAACGTTACATAAGGAAAACACCTGACCAGAATATTACAGAGTGGTAGATTTGACATTTTACCAAAGGACAGTAATGCTTGATGTTCTATTCCCTGCAGAACTCTGAATCCAGTTAACAGCAGGAGGGAAAAAGCAGCAGCAACATTTCAAATGTCCATACTCTGATTTCTAGAAGACACCATGTAGGTAAGAAGAAAATCACATTTTATTTCAAGTGATGGAAGTCTTTGAAATGAGGCTCTGCTATCTTTCAAGACTGAAAGGATATCACAGTGTTGATTTTATATACAAAGTAGGATCTGTTCCAGTATACTCTAGTGAAATAATTCACATATGGAGAATAGTTAATTTTGACCTCATGACAAAATCGCCCATATTTTGAGTAGGTTAACTTGTCACCTTCTTCACAAACCACCTATCAAAAGATATGAAACACAGTATTAAAAAGGCTATGAAGTTTACAGGAGAAACACAATCAATGTACAAGTGACTATATTTATATAAAAAATACATTATTGCTACACATGGACTATCTCACATTGTTTAGCAAATCTAGAACTCTCTTTATAAGAGAGTCTCCATCTCCATTAAACTCTTCAGCTTCCCCTTGAGACTGAGACCAGTATAAAGTGTTTCTGATTTTCAAAAAGATTTTAAAATCCTCAAATATGGAAGACTATCTCCCTAGTCCATTATCATTCCTCTGACTTATCATAGAGCCTACTAAGATTGAGAAATGGACATATTCTTAATATATATTCAAAGTTTTCTCCTTATGTAGAAATGACTTACAATTATCTAGTAAGCAAGTTTTTGTGACTTATCCAGTGCAAACCTTTACATTCTTACCTTAATGATGTTCACTAAGATAGCTTAACTAGCTTGAAGGGTTTTCTATACTAAAATATTAAACATTCTTCTAATGCTTAGGAAAGATGTCAGAGAACCAACTTTTAGAGTAAAAAGATGGAGTAGCTTTAAGTCCATGCCTGGTATTACATGAAAGAAGAAATAATTTGATCTTTTAAATGGAGCAGAGAGATAGCCAAGATCAGAATTAAAAGGCCCCAGATAGCAGGTAGCAAGCAACACAGCAGTAATTACTGAATACCTGATGTTTAATAAAATTCCATTTTGTCACCAATTAAGCCAAAGATCACAGATATCAAGTACCAACAGAGAAAATTCAAAATACATGCAGCAGAACACAGAATACATTTATATTACAGGATGAAGGGGTCATGAAGAAAGACAAAGGTGGAAATCATAAAAACTCATTTCTCCCCTCCAAACTGGTCTGGGACAATAAGAGAAAGAGCTATTACTAAGAAGAGATAGAAAAAATCTTGGCTGCAACCTGACTAGAACATGCATGTCAACTCAGAATGGCCAAATGAAATTCTTCTAAGGTCATCCAACCCCAACTTTCCCAGGAGTAAAGGCACCCACTCCAGACAACACTAATTACCAGATATACAAGCTCCCCTGTCTTTCTTTTAGTTGTCAGATATATAGTGTATACATTGCAGGCTGAGAAGTAAAAAAGCTTTGTAAAACAGCCAAAATTAATGAAAAATTAAAATAAAGCTAAATCCTAAAAACCAAAGTAGCTCTGAATACACTAATTTTTGTGGATATCAGGGACTGTGATAATTTAGTAAGTGATTTTTCTAGCTATGAATCAAATTATCAGAAAATTCTCAACATAATAATGTAACAATGCACCCAGCTGCTCTTTAGATTATTATAAAAAGGTAAAATAATCATTCAAATCAAATTATGCCGTCTTTTGTACATAAATGTGGAACATGAACAAGTACAGCCAACAAATAAGGAACCCAGGTATTGGTAAAATTATTTTTTTCTGCAAAAATGCCCAAATTTTCTTTTGTACATTGAAAAAATACTTCAAACTACTTTTAATGCACTCCCCCACTGTCATATAACTTTTAATTACATTCTTAGTTAAGTTCTAGAAATAAGGTTTGATGAGTAAAAGTTTAAAAAAGTCATTTTTTTGTTAAAAAGATTTTCTCAAATGGTTACTTACATGGCCATTTGCAATGTCTAATAAATCTTTAACCCTACAGCCTCTCATGGTTCCCACCTCATTGCAGATAGCATCCTCTACAATTAGGTAATTAGCCTTGTAGGATGTCAGTATTTTATAAATATCCTCAGCAGATCGCTTTGAATAGATTTGATAGATCTGAAAGAATATAATTAAAACAGTAATTTTAAAACATTTAAAACTTGTTATTTGAAACTATACATTGAACATCTACTATGATTTAGTTTTAAGCACTATCTATGGAAAATAAAGATATTCACTAAGACTTGATTCCTTCCCTCAAGAAGCTTACATTCATAATTCATTCACTGTCCACTGTATATCTTCTTTGGAGAAATGTCCATTCAAGTCCTTTGGCCATTTCCCCCCCAGATTTATTGAGATATAATTGACATATAACATTCTGCAAGTTTAAGGTGTACAATGTATTGATTTGACACACTTAAATGTTGCAAAATGATTACTACCATAACATTAGCTGGCACCTCTACTGTGTCACATTATTACCATTTTTTTTTCCTTTTTTAAAGACTTTATTTATATATTTGACAGAAAGAGAGCGTGAGCACAAGAAGGGGGAGCGTCAGGCAGAGGGAGAAGCAGGCTCCCCGCAGAGCAGGGAGCCTGACGCAGGGCTCAATTCCAGGACCCCAGGATCACAACCCGAGCCGAAGGTAGACACTTAACTGACTAAGCCACCCAGGCACCCCCATTTCTTTTTTTTTTTTTTTATGAAAACATTTAAGATTTACTCTCTTAGCAACTTTCAAGAATGTACATACAGTATTGTTAACTATAATCACCATACTGTACATTAGATCCCCAGAACTTACTCATCTGATAACTGGAAGTTTGTACACTTTGACCAATATCTCCCCATTCCCCTACCCTCCGGCCCCTGGTAACCATGACTCTACTATTTCTATGTTTCTATGTTTTTGGCTGTTTCTATGAGTTTGGCTTTTTTAGGTTCCATATATAAGGGATATCATATAGTTATTTAACTTTATCTGTCTTCTTTCACTTAGCATAATGCCTTGAACATTCATCCACATTGCTGCAAATGGGCTTTTGCTCATTTCCTAATTGGCTTGTCTTTTTATTATTGAGTTATAATAGTTCCTACAATTTTTATTACCATGTACAGAGTATTTTATACTCATTTATACAGGAGATAAAATCAGCAAGGTTAAACATAATTTGACCACTGTCACAAAATACTGAATGAGCAAGAATGCTTAAAACTCATGCCTTGGGGCGCCTGGTGGCTCAGTTGGTTAAGCGTCTGCCTTCGGCTCAGGTCATGATCCCACGCATCGGGATCCCTGCTCCCTGCTCTCTCCCAGCAGAGAGCCTGCTTCTCCTCCCTCTGCTGCTCTCCCTGCTTGTGCTCTCTCTCTGTGTCAAATAAATAAATAAAATCTATAAAATAAAATAAAATAAAATAAAACTCACGTCTTAATTCCATAGTGTTTTTCATTACAAGTCTGCTAACCTTATTAGTTCTGGATCTTATTAAGTAATAAGGTTTTTCAGTTTTTCTGAAATGCTAACATAGGAGTAGCTCTTGCTACCCTTCAGAAAATAATAAAATCACAAATGTCCAGCCCAAAGTACCACATACTATATGCCCTAAAACTACTGAGATTTGAAATCTACATTGGACAACATCCCAACCTATCTGATACTCAGCAGCCATCTACTACATGTTAGGGTTGCTGGTTATCCAGCACCTTGTGGTCCAACATCCGCCAATACGACAGAGATACTCACCTGAATATTCTGTGGTGCACAGAATGCTAATAAACCAAGAGGAAGTTTCTCCCTCATTTTACTTTTAAATACGCTTCAATGGAAATAGTTCTATCCAGCCTATATCTATTTGTTGTTTTTCACATACATTTTTATTTTTAAATTTTGAGAAACTGTAACATACTCATGGGGCATTAAAAAAAAAACAAAACATCTCTTTGCAATGGCAATAACATCACTGATAGACAGGGTTTCTCAGTCTCAGCACTACTGACATTTTGGGCTGGATAATTCTTTGTTGGGACAGAGGAAGACTGTTCTGTGTATTGTTGGATGTTCAGCAGTATTCCTGGTGCCTAGTCTCATAGTCAAGTCACATAAAACATAAAACTCCAAAATGTTTAAATTTAATTAGAACCTAATTAAAAGTCTGACCTAGGGGCACCTGGGTGGCTCACTTGGGTAAGCGACTGCCTTCGGCTTAGGTCACGGTCCCAGGGTCCTGGGATGGAGCCCCGCATCAGGCTCCCTACTCCACAGGAAGCCTGCTTCTCCCTCTCCCACTCCCCCTACTTGTGTTCACTCTCTCTCTCTCTCTGTCAATTAAATAAATAAATAAAATCTCTAAAAATAAATAAAAGTCTGACCTAATTCTAAGTGATTCTGAAATTCTATATTAGGAAAAGACTAATCGTAAGACAACAAAGAAATCCACAAGAAATAAAGTTCAGGAATATGTGATATACGTTCTGTCTGAGCGACTCTACCTTTCAAAGTAACAGCAAACACTAGTTGAAGGCAGGGGTTACCTCTCAGGTAAATCACCACCAGGTAGGTCCCTTCATCTTTGACCTCTCCCTGCTTCAGTCTGTTTTCTGCTCTGACCATAATTAACTCTCTACAACAGATCTAAGCATTCCATTCCCAGGCTTATTAAAGGTCTTTGATAACTCCCAGATGCCTCAAGGGTGAGTCTAAATTCTTCAGCAGGACAGTCTAGGTCCTTCAGAATTTGGCCTCATTTTATTTTCTAGTTTCATGGCTATACAAATTTCATAGCTGTTACTTTTTCAGCCTGGAATCACATGCATTCTTTTTCCAAACAAGTTTCTACTAGTCCCTCAAAGCCCAGATCAATGGAATGCCCTTTATGAAGACTTGGATTTTTGTAAGCAGAATTGCTTGTTCCTGCTTTTGAGCTCCTCTTTGTACTTTCTATGTTTCTATGTGTGTATGTGTGCATGTACAATTTAATAGTAAATAAGAACATAATAATAACTAATATTTAAGGTTTACTATGTTTCAGGCATGGTGCATTTATCTCTAATTCTCGTAACTAGGACGTAAGCACTTCCTAGATTCAGATTCAGAAACTTCTCAAAATTAAAGAAATCAAAGAAGACACGGATAAAAGGGAAGATATTCTATGCTCATGGATTAGAAGAATTAATATTGTTTAAATATCCATACTACCTAAAGCAAACTACAGATTCAATGTAATCCCTATCAAATTCCAATGACATTTTTCACAGAAATGGAACAAATAATCCTAATTTTGAATGGAACCACAAAAGACCCTGAATAGTCAGAGCAATCTTGAGAAAGAACAAAGCTGGAGGAATCATGCTCTTTAATACAGAGAATAGATTGGTGGTTGCAGATGTATGGGGTGGGAGGTGGGTAAAATGGGTAAAGGGAATCAAAAGGTACCAACATCCAGTTACAAAATAAATGTAGAACATAATGACTATAGTTAATAACACTGTATTGAACATTTAAAAAAAGGCAGACGCTTAATGACTGAGCCACCCGGGTGCCCAGGAGAGAGTATATCTTAAAAGTTCTCATTTTAAGAAAAAAATTTTTTATAGCTATGTATGGTGATGGACGTTAACTAGACTTGTTGTGGTAACCATTTTGTAATATATATAAATACTAAATCATTACATTGTACACATGAAAGTAATATAATGTTACGTGTCAATTATACCTCAATTTTTTAAAAAAGCTATTGTGGAAATGCAAATAAAAAGAAAAAAAGAAAAGAGGGGTCCTGGCTGGCTCAGTCAGTAAAGCATGTGATTCTTGATCCTGGGGTTGTAAATTTGAGCCCCATGTTGGATGTAGAGATTAGAAGTGTTGAATCATTATATTGTACACCTGAAACTAATATTACACTGTATGTTAATAAACTGGAATTTAAATAAAACCTTTAAAAAAAAATCTTAAAAAAAAAGAAACTTGTTCCAAGTCACAGAGCTAGTACATGGCAGAAGTAGCATTTGAGTCCAGGTATTCTAATTCCAGAGTCTGCATTCTTACAGGCTAAATTCTATATTGCAATACTACCTCCTTAGCTTAGAGCATGATTAAAAACCATATGAAATTCTCTCCAACTGAAAAACAGAATATTTGGAATTCAGGTTCAGTTAGTCACTGCTCTCAGATATGAAGTTACCATTTATGTCCAGACTAAACATTCAAAATAATATATTCTCTGAACTGTAAGTAATTAGATTATCATTCTAATGTTATACTAAGTTATTAATAACAGCCCAAACTGAAAAATAAACCACAGTGAGACAGAATTTTAGCTTGGAAAGACAAAATGTATCAAGATAGTAACTGACAGCCTTCCTTCCTTCAATAATATGATTGAGAACAACGATATTTTCCAAATAAGACACGTCAGTTCCCTTGAAACTTTGTGGAAAATTAAACGTTTCTCCTAGAAACATCAATACTATTCATAAAAAAAGAAGTTAGTATTTTAATTTTGGCTCTCCTCTTGCTTAAACATACTACACAGCTTTTTAAAAACTAAAGCTAATTAACTTTCTAAAATTGTTTGGATTTTCCTAGCTAACCAGGAACATATACATCATTACAGAGCTACACTAAAATAAAGAGCAATGTTAAAAAGATCCAAATGCATAATCGAAAACGTCTTACGTTTTCATTTCTCCTGAGAAGATCATCATCATTGTAAAGAGGCAAGCTGGTCACCATCCATCCAGTGCATAATTTAATCGCGCCCATTAACTGTGGACTCCCTGCAAACACAGCTGCAACTGGAGCTTGCCTTCTGTAAAGAAGCACACAGATTTACACACTGAAAAGGTAAGTATACTATTTAGATCACTGATTTATACCAACTCTGAAATAGCAGGCAACTCAACAATGTATTGTATACTTGAGTTTCAATGTCAGCTTTTACTTCATTTATAAACTCATTCAAAAAAACGGAGCACTTACTATGTGCCAGGAACTATATTGAATGCTGAAAATACAGAAATTTTTTTAAAGCAGGGGGTGGAGATAAGGTCCCTGCTTTTGAGAGAGACTGGAGGGAGGACAATAAACATATAGGCCAGGTGGTAATAATACTATTAAAAAATAATGCAGGGTATATATAGTGACAGGAATTTACTACCTTATATATAGTGTAGTCAATTCAATGATGACAATGTGAATTCTCAAATTTATCCTTCTGCAAATATTAACCACCATAACTCAACTTCTTCCCAATCCATCCACCCTCCTGCTTCCTCCCTAGCTTTACCATGTACCTGTCTTCAGGTAACACATGTAGTTCTCCACTTTGAACCATGATCCAAAGTCCCAGACAGATGCCACTTACAAAACTAAAAGCAGATCCTGAAGGATTGTCTTTACTTATTTAATCACTTCCTGTATTCAACATTCACCTACAACATGCTAGGGACAATGCCAAGCTCTGGAAATAAAAGGCGGCACACAGCCACTGTCCTTAGGGTGCACCCAATAATGGGGAAACAAATATGAAACAGGATAATTACACCACGTAACATATATGTCCGATTGCCTGATGCACAATGTTCAATGTTCAGGCCCCTGTGCTGGTTTTGAAAATATTGTGATAAATCACACACCCAGATTGAACTTCCTCTTTTGTTAATAACAATGCAAAGCTATATAGTCAGTGTTCCACAATGGTAAACACAAATTCACAAAAAATATTAATGGGCAATAGTTAAGGGTGATCAAAAGAAAACAATTTTTAGACATATGAAGGGTGTATTTACAGCAACAAGACCTTATAATAAGACCAATTCTCATTTCTATAAACCTATTCCTTATTCTAGAAACATTTTTGTCTCCCCCCCCCCATATTTTCCTGGCTATTTTTGATAGTGTTTCATTCCTTTTTCATGTTTTAGTTTCTTCTTCTATGTCTTAAATAATTTTTTTAAAGATTTTATTTATTTATTTGACAGAGAGAGACACAGCGAGAGAGGGAACACAA